AGCTTCGGGAATTTAAATATTCTAATAACAATAGAGGGTTTTGGCGGATCTGAATAATTCTTCTTTTATCAGTTTTTCACAATTGAGCTAAAGGCACCATTCAAATTTGCTACGGCATATAGTATGTGACTAAGCCTGGTGGTTATCCGGTGAATTCTAAACTGACTACTTAGCAATCCCTGCCTGGTCAGTCAACCAACTCTATCGGAATTGCTGGATTCCACACTGGGGGGAGGGCCACTTGGCACAAATATGATTAAACTCAAGGCTCCTCGTGAGGTTTTGTACCCCAAATTTAGAGCGCGGTTTTGGGTTCAAATCTCACTAATGCCGTTGAATATATCACAAATGAATCAAAGAAATGTAAATGCATGCTTATTACAAAATTTCATTAATGGAATGCCTGAGGTAAGTAAACCAACGGGCTCAATTTGGTTTCGTAATCGCGGTCTTCTTTCACTACACACTTCCTAACGACTCTTACCAAGTGTGGATTTAGTATTTGAACTTCTCGCGGATATCTTAATTTGTCAGCTGGATGTTCCTGGAACAGCACAGTCTCCCAGACAGTCCTAAGCACGACGTTTTGTATTGTCATATCTGGCGAACTAAGAGATCAAGCGATATCTGGGTTTAATAAAACTCGTGATTTAGCAAAATATGCATTAGCAGCCATCTTGGAACCCTGGCCGTACGGTTTTGGACTTCTGGACCCTGAATAAAACATCGATATTTAGTTTAAAAATTGGGTTTTGTGAATCTGAAACGTTTACCTTGTAAATGTTTTTCAACCTCGTTGTTCATGTAGAGAAGCCTTTGCCGCAGGATCATTTGCATGCATTTCAGTAGAGCATTTCTGTCCTCCAGGGATACTGGATATTATGTTTATGCGGGCAGGTCTTACAAGTATAATAGAGGGCTGAGTATTGTGTAATTAGACCCGAAACATCTGTTGCCTACCTTAACGCTGTCGGTCAACCTCTTCCAGGTTCTGCATACGACTGCGTTTCAGATTAACCAACCTTTCTTCCACCTTGGTTAGTGTAGTTGGTCACTTTTTGCTGCATGCGACCCCAAACAACGCTTAAAGTCTGATGCCAGATCTCACTGGCCAAAAAGCCGATGCGTTCCCGTAGCCGATCGACCCTAAAATTTCGGACTGACTCTATAACATTGCATACCTTTGACTCTATCTCTTAAACGGGCCACCAGTAGATGTACTGGACCAGCATAGAGGCTACATGAGCTTCGGGTAGATTTTATCGGAAATGTACACCCACAACAGATGCCAACATTGGGATGCGGTGGCAGGCCCAGTTGTAGGCTCACGCAACTTCATTTGAGACCCCTGATACCCCCACGCTTGTTTTAGTTGAAAATTCCGGTTAAATGTTTGTTGTGGATGAGTGAATGTGGTAGTAGGCCTAGATGCAGGTTTTCGCTATACTAACCACCTGAGCCCTCTCCCACCTCTGGTCTCCTTGACCTAATCATGACGGCGGGCTCTGGTGGGGATGGAGGACAGAGTGCCTTAAGTGCTGTGCAACCCCATCACTATAAACTAGTCCGCGTTCATACCACCGTTCTTGCTCTTACTCTGCTGTGGAAAACACGGTGGACATCAAAATCGACGACAGAACTGCCATATAACTTTGTTTTATGGGTGATGTAAAACACAAAGTATCTCTTACTCTGCAATTATTCGTCAGGTTTGAGGGCGAACGCACGTACTGGAGGTCGCAACCTTTTACATTTAATACTGGTGGCTACGGAGGACACAGGCATATCCGAAAAGTTGCTGTCGCAAGCAGCTCTGCTAATTTACGATTTTCGACCATCAGGTGCTGGAGACGTTTGGCTCTTGGAGCTATTACCGTCGATTCTAGGGTCAGCTTACAATGATAAATAGCACACGGGTTGGTAAAACCACAAACAGCCGGGGAGTTTTGGTTCAGTGGCCCATTTCTGCCTTCGGTTGAACTTTCAGTTTGCGATCTCATGAGTTCTTCCGTTCCTAATCAGGAATAATTGTCTTCATTGTCTTGACTGCAAGACAGCCAAAACGTATAGCTAATTCGGGAGGAGCTGTTAAGAAGAAGAGCAGTGCCGAGTGCTGAAGTGGTGAGGGACTAGGCCGCTCAAGGATACAACTGCAATCTTTTATTATGAAAGGGGCAGAACAGGGAAACAAACTGAGCGTACCATATTTCAGTGAGCGAGGAATGGACAAAGACTTCGTCTGCCAGCTGGACAACAAGATGAAGGATGTGTCCATCGAGAAAGTCAAAGAAACTGAATCAAATTACCAAACGTGGTTGAAAGTACAATGAGGACGTTTTGAAACCCAAGAACAGATTACATGAAGGCTGGTTCGAAGCGAAAATCAAATAAAGGAATCATATGCTTTTTAGGAAAATAAACTTCATGAAGCATCCGTAAGGAACAATGCCCTTGCGAATACTCCACGTGTCCTGAATATCAAGGAAAATTTACTTAAAGTTGTCGATTGAAGCAAAAAGAGGAACTCTGTGAAGCAGCTCAGAAGGAGGTGCTAACGCTGTAGCTGCCTTTTTAGAAGCGTGCTGTCTTGGATTCACACTCGAACCTAGCATCGAAGGGTCATGACCGAACGGGAGATGGAATGCGGTTGCCATGTGACCACAGATTTTGGGGAATATGGAACGCCAAGCTTCATTACGAGGCCGGGGAAAGTTTAAGATACGGTAGTCGCAGGGGTATTATTAACTTCAGCACGGCTTCGAAGGCAGTTCACAGAAGTTAAAACATATTTTCTCTCAGGTGGGTCAAAACTGATACGATAGAAAAAAGAAACATTAAGCGGATGGATCTCGCGTCCCCAACTTCCTAAGGCTTATCGAGAGCCCGTCATAGGATAGTTCGACTGTTGTGACCGACGATGTATACCGTGTTCTCCACAGGAAAGTGAGGCAAGCACAGTGACTAACGCGCGAATTAGGTTACAGTGAGAATGAACTTGAGCAGCATCTACCACACTCCCTCCTCCCTATTCTGTCCCGGTATCGAGACGTAGTCAAGATCCGAGGTGAGGGACGGTGCAGGTGGCTGGCATGGCTAGACTCACACTTAGGCCTACCACCACATCCATTGTTCCCAACAAACACTTAACCAGGATTTCAGCCATCAACAGCAGCACCAAAACGGGTTAGAAGGACGAGGGTGACTGGGTAGTCATGTTCATGACCTGTATCCCCAGCGGGAGCGCAAGCGCATCTGCCGGTAGCGGGCCAGATGCCTTAAAACTACCAGCGCATAACAAGCTGTGATGGCCATGGTTTGCTGATCCGGGCATATCAGTTGCTCACAGAACTTTAGGCCCAGAAGGGTGACGTGCAGCCCTGTATTTGCATGGGCCATCATCCTTCAAAAGCACTATCCATAGAAGACATACACAATTCTTGCATGAGAATGCCAGAGGTCGCTTCGAGAAGAAGCCGTGTCAGCCTAGTTCTTAGGTCACCAGTCCGGAGCTTCACACAAACGCACACAACTGAGCAGACTGATTCGAGGCGTCAGTTCCCAGCCTTCCTAGCCACGGCGCTCAGCGGCCCGTGATAGTCTTAGAGTGGGATCGCACGAGCAGCAGAGGGGCCGCATGGAGAAGGAACCGGGAAGAACACTCTCCACTTACATGGGAGGCGGCAGTTGAGTCCTGGCGTTGTCTGATCATAGGTGACGATATTGCATGATGCAGATGCTGATGGGGAAAGGAACGATAGTGTGACGTAGCCAGCGGTTGTCTACCTCAGGTTTTTATGGAAGCGCACATGGCCTAATAGGCCCATGCCGTGAATGGATGTGCGTAGACAGTGAGGGCAGTGCCAGTGGATCCGGCGAGTAAATGCCAGTACTTTAGACACTGGTTTGCCAGTCTGTGAGCGATTGATTCGCAAGTGACCGACCAGCCAGACGTGTGAGGTAAATGTTTGATCGCAATGAGGACGGGTATGGCCGAGTGGGGTGGCGAAGGTGAATTTTTTTGCTGTTGTCGGGCATCAGGAGCGTGTGGGCCGTTGGTGGTGGTGGCAGAGATTGTTGCCGATAGAAGCAAACAGGCGAGTTACAGGAAACAGTTTAGAAGACGAATACGCGATCGCTAGAACAAGTAATTTATTGGCCAGACGTTTCGGATTCTCACTTGAACCCATCATCAGAGACAGTCGCAGTTAAGGGTAATGGGGCACAAAGGGTGCATTATTATTAGCAGGGCGCCGCCGTGGGACCATATGCGTACTGTAATCCAAAATGTCAGAACAATGATTTTCCTGTTCTAGTGATCGCATCTTCGTCTTCTAGAGGTGGTTGTGTTCGACGTCATTGCGGTAGTTGCGGACTAGGTAGCGGAGGTAGTAGTGGCTGAGGGCAGCGCGGCGCGGGCATTCGAACCAATTTTATTGACGGTGGGCGCACATGCGGCCGACGTGGAGGTTGAAGCAGGAGCGGTCCGGATTGGAGCACCTGTTCATTGGGCGGTTGATACATTGAGTCCGAATATGACCGATGAGGCCGATCCGCGCGTCAAATGTTTATTGAAAGAGCGGGCACGGTGGGTGGCGTTAAGTGATGACATTGCGAATCGGAGGCACCTGACACTTGCAAACATTCCTTTTGACTTTGGCGACGACCACGCGACTTACTTCGTAGGTGAAAACGCCAGTATTCCCTTCTCTTCCTCATGCCGGTCTGTTCTGGGTGAGGTACTCCTAGGTCTGTGGATTGGTACGCACTTGCTCAGGTGGATTCTTCAGTGTGTCCTTGTAGCGTCGTTTTGGCCTTCCCGGTCGGCGAGAACCAGTGGCGACATCGTTATAGAAGGGTCGTTTCGGCAGACGTGTATCTTCCATCCGCACCAGATAGTCGCTCGAACGTGGTTGCATTTGCCTCAGCATGGCGTGGATGCTGAGTATTTCCGTCCTGTTCTAGAACTTCCGTTTCAAGGATCCTATCTGGCAAATTAAATTTTAGCATTCTGCGAAGTCAGCTGAGATGGAAGTTGTTGAGTTTTGTGGCACGGTTGGAATAGACGGTCCGGGTCTCCGCTCTATATAAAAGTGTCGTCCAGACGACGTCAGGGATGGTTTCTGGGGAGAGAGGATAAACTCCAGGTCGGTGTTGATTTTCACTTGGGCAGTGGAGAATGTGAAGGGACGGTTAAAGACGATTCTGAAATGCTCGGTCCAGCGCCACAGAATCTGCGACTTCTCCGTCAGAAGTGTTGATCCGTCGGAGCTGAGAAGCGGCGCAGTTCCTTTGGTTGGGGGACGGTAAATTGCCCTGATCGCAGCAAAGAAGCCCTCTGATTCGTTGCGGTCGGCGTAACCGCGGATATCCTCGGCCTTGCAAACCATCCAGGCGTCTTTCATTTTTGCAACCGTTGATGCGTAAGGCGACGACATTTTTAGAAGGTCCTTTTGCTCGCATCAGTTGGACGATCGAGGTAGGTTCTGTGCAGCCTTTTCTTCTCCGCGAGCAGGTTACTGATGGCTACGTCGCTTTCGTCGAACTAGTCGTGGTGCTGGCGACTTGTGCAACCGAGGAGAGTCAGGGCGGTCGAATGAACGGCGTCCCGTAGTTGGCTCCATGGGGTCTCCGCGGAGGCGTTTTCATCTGCAGCTGGCAACTCTTCAAGCACCGGGTCAAATGATTGGTGAAATTCAAACGGTGAGCGGGCACAGACAACGATGCCGTATTCAGTTTACCCGGAGATCACTTCCATTGTGGCCTCCTGTGGGGTTACAGGCGCAGCCTCTTGAAGTTGACAAGGCTGTGGTATGTCCAGACATCAGCGTCACAGACAGCCTTAATCACCGTCACGTCCTGCCGATCTCGCTGCCGAACGAAAAAATCGTCCAGCAGCTGCCAGTGCCGCGATCAGGGATTATCCAGGTGGCCTTCTTCCGCATCTGCAGGCGGAAGAATGCGCTGGCCATCAGGGAGCAGTGATCAGCGCAGGATCGCAGGAGGAGGAGGAGGAGGCCATTATCGTTGCAGCCAACGATTTCCTAGGGACACAGCATTACTCTGCAGGCAGGATAGTCTGTGCCGACGCGGAAAATCAGCTTACCCGTTTCCGCACAGACGTCAGGAGGGTGTGCGGGTCTTCATTGAACTTTGTTTTCGCTTCGTATGAGCTGTTCATTGTTGGGACGTAGGCGCTGATGATGGTGGCAAAGTTGGATCCCTGAAGATACAGATGCAGGCTTATCTGACGCTCATTAATGCCCTGCGGCAGACAGGGAGTCGTGTCACGATGGCAAAGGCGACGCCTACATCGCGTCCCTCTGCCTCAGGGCGACCGTTCCAGAAGTCGGTGTAGTCGGTACCCACATCCTCCAGTTGACCTTGTTCGGAGAAATGGGCCTCGCTGTGTGCACTGACGTCCAGCTTGTAGCGCGCTAGTACCCGAGCGACTAGAGTCGTTTTCAATTCCCGCCGGTTGCTTCTGGGATTATCTAAAAGTTAAGGGACACTCCAGACTGCCCGAGCGAGCGGACTCACGCCAACTACTTGTGGGGTGTGCTTGAGGAGGAGGAGGAGGAGGAGGAGGCGGCGGATGAAGAGGGTTTTGTCTTGCTTCTTGGTTTCGACCGCATGTTTGGCGATCTGCGAGCCACGGCCTGTGCGCAGATGTCATGAACCCAGTTTTTCTCGGACACCTTTTATAACTACCTCCTCTAAATAGGGCGGATTCTTCGCGCCAGACCCATTCCGTTTTCCACTAAAGCCCCATGAAGTTTAGTGAGAGAATGATCAATTGCCCGTGACGCTTATGTGATTGCGTATTGCCCTCGCAGTAGGAATTTCGACCGTGGTGAAAGAGAGTACAGTATAGAGTGGAGAGGAAGGAGAGGGAATGGAAGGGGTTAGAGAGGCGGAGGATGAGGAGGAGGGGGCGGGGGAGGAGGAAGGCGGAGGAGAGGGGGAGGAAGAGGAGGAGGTAGTAGTAGTAGTAGTGGTGAGGGGAGAGAAGATTAAGAAGAAGAATAAATAAAAGGAGAAAAAGAAAAAGAAAAAAGGAGAGGAGTGGAAGAGACGGGCGGAGAACAGGAGGAGGTAGAAGAGGGAGGAGAAGCGGTGTGGAGAGGTTGGGGGAGAAGGGGGAGTAGAAATACCTTGTGGAGGATGCACACACGGATAACCTCAACTGGTTTAGGCCGCCGGTCGAGGCGGTTACCTGGATGTGGCTGGTAGGCAGAACATAGATTCCGGTAGCTAAAAGTGTGTATTGGGTGCCAGTCCGTGGGCGCTAGGCGTAGTCAGCACCTGCAAACAAGTGAGCGACCCACTACGACCTCCACGTGGACCCACAATTGGACACCACTACACCCCGCACCCAACGGGTTTTGCGCAAACCCAGTATCAGACGCTCAGGAAGTCTAGAAGGTCTTATGCGGATAATTCACAAGGCCTATTCTAACTGTATGACATTCTTAGTAGAATAACTATCGCATTATTGAGAAACTGAGCTCATTTTTTCAGGTAATGCTGTAAAGGATGCGTCCTCCGCATATAAGATACTCGTATTTTGAAATATCTGCGAATGGGGAATATTAAATGGACGAATTTTTAATTACTGCGGAAATGATAGAGAAGCCTCTTTTCTTTTGATAAAGATCGAACTAAGGAACAAACAAAAGTTATCAAGAAAACTTCCGAGAAGCTGGCCCAGCTTTACATCCTAAGCAACAGCGGCGCAGATTTGCTGTCCTAAATCTAGCGAGATTTTGCCAAGCTAGAACTGGTGAATCCATTTCGTTTGTTTTGACTTGGTTCACATTTATCTGTGAAAGAAAGAAAACAAGACCGCTTCTGTGTGGCGCATCCTCTCCTGCCCGTACCTGGTAAAAATTAAACTCCCACGATGAGTGCCACGAGTCATGCTACTGGAGGTTCCAAAATGCCACAGGAACCTGTTGTCTGCAACTGAGAGACAGACGGAGGAAGTATCTCTTCCATCTTTTCCCTGGAATATCCAAGTATGTGGTCTGATTTTTGCTGATAGACGCACTATTACGTGCGTGATTTTGTAACTACGCAAAAGAATTCTGGGAAAGCCACTGCGTCAAAAGCCTCATTCGAAAGTTTCAGCCCAGCCTTTCATTTACATTAATACGCTGCGCGGCTGTGAGAATGACGTCAATGGAACTCAATTCCCTCCCAAAGCAATCATTATCAAGCTCAAATTATTTCCACAGCTGTCATCAAACTTATATTTACAACAGTGAGGATTTACTTGTCCTCCTGTTCTTTTCTCACTGCGTGTCGTAAAGCAGAGGTGGAATCATTCGCCCCTGTGAGTCTGGGTGTAATCCAACATACAGACGCCGTGCGTACCTCACAGTGGACGAAGGAGCAGATAAGCAGCTCCGGGCGTAGCTTGTTTATTCCTTCCGGTTTGCTGGCCGCGACTTTTCGGAGTTTTACGTCATTGAAAACGCAATGGATACCAAAATTACAAGTTCCCGTCACTCTGATTTAGATTACTCTGGCTCACATTAGCTGGTAGAAATGTGTAATCGCTTCTGGATAAATTAACGCAAAGCCGATGGGAATGGAGAGCAAATCCTGTTGTGAATTCATCATTTAAAATTTAGGCAAAGCGACCATCGTTGGAATTCGATTTCGGAGCACTGACAAAGACATGGAGTGGATAAAGGTAGTGTCTTCTTCTGTCTCGACAGATAGGACATTGCCGATGAACTGGATTTCATATATTATTCGTGTTAAAGGTTGCCAACTTCACGTTTTTGATGGCGCAAATGCAGAAGTGGCACAGACTATGTCAAATCTGAGTGAGCCTGTCTCGTGAGACAAACTTCAGGAAGTCGAAGAGTCATTTAGGAAGCATGATCTTATATAACGGCTTTCGCCTTTGCTCCCTGTCTATGAGGGGATCCCACTGATACACCAGGATTAACCACTCCGGCAGACACCGTACTGCTGGACAACCGAAACGTGTTGACGACACATTTTTTGAAAGAACAACGCTGCTGCTTTTGAAGCCAGATTAGGCGTTTTTGGGATGTCCTTAACAGTCGAATTTCTATCTGCGACTGGGTAATGTCAAACGCCGACTTCGGTGACCCTCAAATGCTAGGCGAACCAACCTATTGCATTTATAGGTTGTGCCCGCAAGCGCTAATTGCTGCGAGTTTCAGGGACACATAGTTAATATAACTACGAAAACGATCGACGTGACCACGTACGTATCTGTCTACTTTGATTGGCTCCATAAACGTAGTAGCAGACGTCCGACGAAGATATTTCGAAGCCATCAACACTGCGAAATTTGTGGAATTAAGTCTGTTGACTAAACGTCGCATATTGATGAATCATAACTGCTTATTAGCAACTACACTACCCCTGGCAACCTCACAAAAACTTCGAACACTCCAAAAATATACGCATTCACTGAAATTGCGGGGAATTTGGCGGTCCGGAAAGGGTTATATTAGAAATGGAGGTTTTCCATGTATAATTGGGAGTTCAATAAGAAAGAAGCGACTCAGTCACGGCCACTATAATAACAACGGGGTTAAACTGAACCATGAGTTTGTCTTAAACCCCTTGTCCTCATATTCACTACAGTTCAACCGTAACACTATCCAACTGGGCCTTCCGGCATTCATGTTTACCGAAGACGGCCTCCGCACCCTCAGTGGACACAAATCCTTTCGTAGGCTTCGAAGAACGTGAGGCATGAATGTTTTGTTGATATTTCTGACCTCATGATAATTACTATGGATAGGAAGAAACTGGGACAAAGTGCGAAATCAAACAAAACATTCGCGTAAGACAAGTGCCACTAAATGGAAGGAAAATGGAACTTAAAATAATAATCTAGCTCGTATGAGTAACACCGACGTTAGCAAATACACAAACCTCAAGCAAGATTCTGTGGAATGATCCCTGCATTCTCCTTAATTCTCAGCCGGAGACTGACAAGACTATGGTGCTAATGAAGGTCTTATGAGACCTGGAAATTTTTATAATCTTGTAGGGTCATGCCATGAGGTTCCTTTGGTCCAATCGAAACTACCTTTAGTTGATCCCGAGGGTGAATTGGTAGAATAGGATTAAGGAGTCTAGAACTATTATTTGGTAGGCATCTCCATACATTGACGACATTTTCATTCTGATAGAGCAGCTGTCCAGTGGAGATTTCAACATAATGTCCATAAAAAGGATAATTTCGACAAACTTCTGCAGACATTTGGCGACAAGGGAGAGATGAATAACCGCTCAGCAGCGCCTACGCTTGCTTTGGCAGCGCTCCGAGATCAATCAGAATATTTCGGAAAACGATTCTGCACGATCGGCAGGCTCGATTTTAGCTGAGAAAAGTAGGCCTGAATTATCTAAAGCAAATCTACGTCTGAATATCAAGGTAAAATAATATAAAAATCAAGAATACCGAGTACTAACAACGAATAAGGATCGTGCTTACGATAACGTGAACGCTATAAAAGAAAACGTCATGAGCGAAGACAGCAGTTAATCCAAGTATAGATTTCTCCGGTTGGACCTGCATAAATTCATTGACAACCGAAGAGAGCAAAGATGACGGGGAACTCCGCCAGTGGCAGAGAAACATCTCACTCAAGTCCAGCAGTTAGCATGCATTTTGGTTAGTAACTACCCGAGGGGTAACGGTAGGGTGAAGGACCTCACTCAGCTGTCAGTGGACTGTGGATTGTGTCATACTGGAATGGTGGCAATGGAGGTTTTACGGGTTGGGCAGCAAGCCAGAGAGTAAGCTGGCGAGATGCAGAAAAACAGCAATTTTTGGATTTCCGCTGAAAGTCTTGGAGTATGGCGACGAAAAGGAGTACGTTTATTAAACTGTAAACAAAGGACAAATTTTAAACAATTACAGAATTTGAATGATGTTTTGAGGTCTTAAGAAGCGATTGCTGTTGACAATGCAATGTCAGCTACGGCCTGCATATGGGTACCCAGATAAAACTTCCTTATGAAACGATTCACAGTTTACCGACTGTTAAGTGAAGTCCTTCACCCTACCGTTGCTTACGTGGGTTAGAGACACTATTTGTTGCTGCAAATCACACCACCCGATCCACCTCCACAGGCCTCATTTTCGATGGCTGTGCCTAATATACAATACTTTCAGAATTAAGACTGGCCTTGGTGGGAACGAATAACAGCAGCTGATATATTTCAGCGCCAGTATTCACATCGACCTTCCCATCGAGCCCGAAGAGGTCTGCTCCAAGGGATTTACTTCAAGTTCGCACGTTTATCTCCTAGGAAATGAAAGAAGGCCGAAATACACCAGAGCTCCAAGGTGCGAATTCTGCCTCAGTGAACAGGGCCTGAACTTGAATACGGAGAAGCAGACTGTCTCCGCCTCCTCACCACCCTCTCTCCCACCCTGCCCACAGTTATCTGATGACAAGACATGGGCAAGACGGACATGAGTGTGGGTGCAGTGACTAATAAAACTAAACAGCCAGTCTGCGCACACCGCATAAGTACCAGGCCTCACTTAGGGATTTATCGCAGCCTAGTACTCAGTTTTGAGGAAAATCAAGTTAGGCTTTCGGTTGACAACTCTCCAACCACGATGGATAAC